AGAGATTTTTTTTAGAGTTTTTTTTTTGGTTTGGGGGGGGGGGGGTGTTGGGTAAGAAAATACCTATATAGGCAAGTTTCCCATCATATGTTCGGAGAAGATTTCCAGGGTGTGGATCTGCATGGTAGAAGCCATACTCCAGAAGTTGATTAAATGAGCAATAGACTCCTACCTATTCAGCACGAGAAAGGAGACACCTCACTTAGCCAGAAGGCTAAGATAAAATATAAATACAGATCGACTTTCAAGAATCCTTGCTCCATTAGTTTAGTCAATAACCTCAATCAGATAAAGATTCTTCACTTCTGACAGCTTTTGCCCCTAAAAAATAAAGAAAAGGAAAAAATAAAAAATGAATTACGTCCATGATATATCGAGAAAAGATACACTTTAAACTTCTTTATGAAAAGAACTTCGACAGAGTTTTATGCTTTCATTAGTTCTACCTAAGTCACACATCTGTGAATAATCTTAACTTATATTCAAATTCACAGCATGGCAAGATGCAGCTCCATGCACAATCTTCCCACCTGTATAAGAAGAGGTGTGGAAAGATGCATGCAGCATAGCCACCGACTTATAAGAGGATCTATTTATCAATGAAAAAAAGAAAAAAATAAAGATTCCAGCTGGGTAAAGTCCCAGGAAAAAAGTGAGGATAGACTGCTGGTGTAGGATTGCTGCCTTGTTTCAAATTTAGACAACAGTCAAGAAGAAAATATGTTGCACCTTAAAGTGAAATTTCAACTATTCTACTCTTGCTAATTGCAATGTCTAGCCTTCATTTTCATTGGATCAGGAGTCTGAAACTAAGTTTCAAATTTCTATTTTCAGAAGTACAAAATAAAGGATAAATTTGAAAATGTCTGCTGAGATTAGTTCAGCCAAAAATATAGTCTGAGCATATATATAATGGACAAGGACAAAGTTGGAATAGAACATACCTCCACCCACTCCATAACAAGGACCCGGCGAGTTGTCTGCTCCAGGTACATTTCTGGAACCAAAACATCAGGTAGACTGCCATACAGCTGCCTGTTTAAGCACATAGCAGATCATTGTTAGACCATATATATGTAAATTGCTCAATTTGGTTACATGTACACGGGGAAAAGAGCAAGAAGTGATAAGTGAACATTTACAATGCTTCACAGTAGCTCTATCAAAACAAGCAGAAACAAGTCAACGTAACAGAAAATAAAGACACTAATCAAACGAGACTGTTGATAACAAATCTATTCTATTATTTTGAAGAAAATTATTAATAATCTGTACTATATATAAATCATGACAGAATAGTACGACATCCTGCCATTTGTCCCAGACAGACCGTGTTACAGAAATTAAAAAGTTTTTCCATCAAATGGATGGAGTAGTAACATAAGTCGGTAGGAGGATGTCTCAGAGGTGGGATGGATAAAGTAGTAGCACGGGCAATGAGACTAGTGTATCTGCGTCTATTGACTGGTAGAGCATAAAGGGGAGGGAAGAGAAAGACAAACTAATAAACAGAATAAAATCATAATGGGGTACAACCTATAGTGAGTACCAACCTTGAGCAACTATTATTGGTTGAAAAGTTGGATCTGTCTGTTATAGTTGAAAATAAACAGGTGGACAGGAAAAATAAAAACATACAATCAACCGTGAAATAATGCAATTTATAAGCGTTAAAATGTTTTCTTACTTAAACTTGCGGCCATTTTTTGCTTCTAGCCTGTAGTCCATCTCCTGCATTCAATGTGATTTACCTGTATTCAATTTAAAGCTCTAAGAATATATCTCATGCAAAAAGCTAAAGGAAGCAGCACTAAAAATGTGACGGGGCAAAAAAGAAAGATGCTTCAGAAATGACAAAGGTCTTCAAGAACGTGAGCAAATGAAATTAAAATGTAATGTGTTCTTTTGCAAAACATATAAAATCTGAAGCGTAATGTGCCACTGAATTCAGTAAGAGGCAGCAAAGATTTCGGAGACGTTTGGTTTATGAATTAGAATCATGAGATTAGAAACATTTTTTATTTACGTATATTTTTTGTGGGAGAAAACACTGTAGCGAACCATGAACCATGATTCGAATTGGGATACGAATCCCCCAACCAAACAACCCCTTCATTATTCAAGAACGTGAGCAGATGAAATTAAAATGTAATGTGTTCTTTTGCAAAACATATAAAATCTTAAGCGTAATGTGCCGCTGAATTTAGTAAGAGGCAGCAAAGATTTCATTATTAGACATCTCTTTAATAGAATTTACCAAAATTGTGAGAATGAACGAAAATTAGTGCTTTTCTATGGACTTTTACTGAATAAGAATTAAGAAGCATTGAAAGGTATTTAAAAAAAGTAAAAATAAAAACAAAAATAAGACCAGGAAACCTTTTCTAGCATAAAGTTTTGCTTTTCCTTTTCGTTTTTTTTAGTGTCATTAGTAACAGTCTAACAAAATATGCGTGGTTTTGCACGTGAATAAAGTAAAGAGATCCACATATACCCGAAAAAGACTTGATGCCCATTCGTCAACAACTGCCTGCATGTTAATGTAAATTTCAAACTTGAGAACCATTTAACATGAAGCTGAAAATAAATGAAGAAAATGTATGATACACAACACAGGTCAATACATACACATCCGTTGCTACTGTAGATTGATTCTAGTATCATGCATTTGACACACCAAACTAACAGACAACTAAACAAAGCTAGACATAAACAGCCACAAACTGATGCAGAAATTTCATCATAAGTTCAACTACAAAAGAAATTTTCTATATGTTGTCAAGTCAGGTGGCGAGTTCACATGTTGTCAGACTGTAACTTACGGTACCTGAAGATCGGTGTTCAATTTTCTAGCTCTCTTAACTAATCCTGCTAGGACACGCAATATAAATATATCCAGAGAAATAGCAGCTTGTACTCCAGGTCTTTGCACTTTGACTGCAACAAGCTGTCCCTTACGTCGAAGCCTAGCTTGATAGACCTAATATGAGAAAAAGATCTGTGAATTTGAAGTGTCAAAACTAGGTTGATGTGCACAATTGCGAATAAAATGTAAAATATGCCACATGCAAAATCAAGAACTAGACGTGTTGTGTGCCTGGAAACAAACCTGCCCTAGGGATGCTGCAGCTATAGGCTCTGGTGAAATCTCTGAAAAGATCATGTCCATTGGTAAACCAAGTTCTTGCTCTATTGTATCGAGAGCAACTTCAGTAGAGAAGGGAGATATTCGATCTTGCAACAGTGAAAGCTCGTCCAAATATGAGGGCGGTATCAAATCCTACAGAGTGTATTTGGAATATAATGAGTCCCCGCTTCGTTCAGTAATGAATACCACTTACCAACAATACCATGAACTCCCCTGTTAAGCATAATTCTAAGCGAGCTCATCATACTACAGCCTTGCAGTTGCGTATTTTTCACTTCTTTCACATAACCTTAGCCCGAACATTATATTACTAGCATATGACCATTCAAACTACATGAAACCTATGTTTCTAGGGTGCATTACATAGATCTCCAGCTAGTGGTCGAAGACACTTTTTCATCATAGAGACTAGAGACAAGACATTCGGAACCCAAAAATCATTCCAAACCGAAATCTTAAATATAACTGAAAGTTATCCAGTTCATTTCCTTATCTCATGTTGATGGTTCAATAGCAAAACAAAGGACAAGCAACGCCCTATCTCAACAATAAGCACTTGAGAATGTTAAAACTAGAACACATTAATATGTTGTCCTGGTCTGAGATTTTGACAAACCTTCTTGTTTCGTTATTATACTATCTTTTACCGACACATATATAAAAGAAAAAACCTTTGGCATTGCATTTACTTTAGTTATTACATACTGCTAATAACTTCAAAAGAAATAGCTTGAACTTAATGAATTACAACATATTGTTCACTTAAAACAGTATAAAGCATTGATGAACTTACGGCTCGTGATGAGATTGCCTGAGCAATTTTGACATACGCCTACATTTGCCCAAAAAAAAAAAAACAAAAAACAAAAAAAAAAACATAATGAGACAAAAACTATCAGCAAATATAGAGTGGAAGAGTAGAAATTAGTGCAACATACCGGACCCAGTTCAACCAATATTTTACGAAGCTCTGCAGCTCTAACCTGGGGAAAAAAAAAACTAAAACTTTATTGAATTCTTGCCCAAATAGAAAATGCGTCAAATTCCAAAACAAGCAGACCTCAAACATCTGGTCGGAGCGGTCCATGAGGCCATCGACGTAGCGAAGCGCGAACCACTTGCCGAAGGTGGCGCCGATCTGGAAGAGCCGGCGAGCGACGAGGAAGGGCCGACGTCTGAAGATGGTGGCGATTCTGGCGACGTCGTACACCGCCAAGGAGTCGGCCTCGGAGACGCCGAGGTCGAAGAGGTAGCCGGACTTCTCCGTGAAGGCGTCGACTTCTCGGCCGGCATATTGTGGCCGGAAAAGCGGCCGGCGGCGGAGAGAGAAGGAGGAAAGTGGCGGCGATTGGCGGCGGAGGATTTGGGGTTTGGATGTGGCGGGAAAAGAAGGGAGGGAAGAGGGAGAAGGAAGGAGAATTGGCATCGGAAAACGGAGAATGAAGAAGTAGATTGCGAGCCACTCGTCTCGTGACTCGTGTGTTGGCGATTATATATTTATATCGTTTTCTGATTTTGATGTTTTGTGAAGAAGGAAAGGAGGGAAAGGGAATGGTGGAACTTCTGTTGGAGTTTTTGGCTTGCAAGCAGCTAACGTCTCCTTTTTTGTGGTGCTGTTTATTTTTATCCGCTTATTTATTTATTTATGCAGTATTTTTAAAAGCCAATGATACTTCTGGAAAATGTCTATTTAGGTTTAATTTAATATTTTCGTAGATTTTAGAAAAATTATTTTTAATTGTGTTAAAAGAAAAAACAGTTGTCACAAAAAGTATCTAGTGTGGTGTAAACTATAATTATAATAATTATACTGATTCTCAAATCAATGTAATAGCGTAGATAAATTATGAGATTAAATTACTATAGATAATTAAGAATTACGATTATATTAACATATATAATTACAATGTAATATATATTTGTTATTATATTTAATATAATAAAAAACTCTTATTATATAATTATGATATAGAATATAATAATATTATTAAAATGGTTAATATAGCTACAATATTATAATATTACATAAAAATAATAATATTTCAGTTATAATATAATTAAAAATTACAATTATAATATCATATTATTATTATTATTATATCATATTATATGATAAAATAATAATATTAAAGTTATTAATATAATTATGATATTATTTGTTACAGTATTACTATTACATTATATTATATTATATTATTGTATTATTATTTTATTTTATTTTTTATTACAAGTATGAATTTTAAATTGAAAAGATTTTAAATTTTAAATTTTATTAAGAGTATTATGACAGTTTCATTAATTCTACTGTGCTTATTTCCGCACAATCTAAAAATTAAAGTTACCTTTGGACTGCTTTTGATTTTGGCGATAGATTTTTCAAAAATTCTTCAAAAAATAATTTTGAGAATATTTACTAAACACTAAAATCAGCTTTTGCTATAAGAAAAAGTTGATTTTGAGAGCGAAAAGCAAATACCAAATGCAGTCTTAATGCACTTGGACGAGTCAAAAATCTAAAAAAGACAATAATATGATGACGGATCTAACATGAAAGAAAAGCATAAGGTGTACAAAAAAGATATTAGAGATAAATCCCAAGGCATTATGTATATTTATGATTGTCATTAGGATTTAGTATTTTGTGATCTTGTCACCTCTTGTGTTAAGAGTTGTATCATTTTTTTAGAGTTTTACGACGAACACATTCATTGTTCTTTTCTTAACCCAAGCGATGAAAAATGTTGAAAAATAACACAACTATTTCACTTTAAAATCACCGTCACAAACTAGTTGGGAAAGTCGTATTAAGAGTTTAACTTTTGGGACAATTAGAATTCAAGCTCAAGAAATAAGAGATGCTTAGTTTGAACTAGCAGAAAATAATGAGCATCCCAACAGTGAAAGTGAAGCTAAAAGTCTAGCGATGTTATGAATTAGAGAATTTTTAATTAGGCATGATAATGGTTTGATATCTTGTTTGTTGTTAACTCCGTTAAAAAATGCTTACAAAGTGAAGAAATGCGTATTGACATTTCTATAAATCAATTAAAAGGTCATCTTAACAACAACAGATGTCAAACCTACATTGTAGAGAGGTATCAAACCTACATTGTAGAGAGGTATAAATAGGAGGGAACACCTTATAGAAAACCTAAGGTCTAAGGTCGTGTTTATAATTGTTTTCGTTTTTATTTTTTACGTTTTTCGAAAAAAAAAAATAAAAACGTTTTTAAAACGACGTTTAATGCAATAAAGACAAAAAATGGAAATGAAAATGATTTTTTAGTTTAGATTAAAATGAAATAAATGAAAAATGATTTTTAATCGTTTTCTATTTTTTGTTTTCGTTTTCTCCTCTCTTGAGGAGAAAGAGAAAAAGAGATATTAATGAGTTTTTTTACACTGAAAATAATCTATTGATAAAACTACCAAACACATTAAAATGCTTTCTGTCTGAGATTGAAAACGTTTTCATTTTCATTTTCATATAAAAAATAAAATCATTTTACAACGAGTTCCAAACGTGTCCTAATTTTCCTTCCCAACCATCAGAGCAGAGCATTAGAATGCACATTTACTTATCAAGAATTCAATCGCGTTTACTAATCAAGAATTCAATCCCAAAAAAAGTTATTATATTCTTGATTTTAAATTCTTATGTTTACTTTACATAAAAAAGTTATTAAACTCCTGATTTTAAATTCTTATGTTTACTTTTACATTTAAGAATTAGATAGGATAAGTCTCACCTCCAAATGAAGAATTAAATTACTTGTCACTTGATTATAAGGAAGAACTTATTCTCACACTCTACCTACAAAATTTAATTACTTTCCCTAAAAAATAGGACCTAACCTAAACTTATTTACTAATTTACCTTCACTTTAATTTAATTAGTTACTTATGTGACACGTTTATAACTGCACTTATTCTATTCCTATTCCTTTTAACTTTTTAAGAAAGTAAATAACATAATACGAATTTAATTCTCCATGCAATTTACCTCCCTTATAGATTAGTAAACATTATTATTTAGAACTTAATTCCGTAAAATTTAATTCACCTTTTCTTATAATTCATTTCCTACTAGTACTATTCCTAGCTTCTTCATAGTGAAAAGTCCCCTAACTCAACTCTCAAATTGAGGGTGAATCACCCTAAATTCTTCGGTGTTTATTTATTTCCAGCATTAATTACACTTTATTCTTCATTGATTACTGGCATTTAATCTATTGTTGAAAAATTTTCACCATTAGCATATTTCACAAGGAACAGAAAAACTCAAAACACAAAAGCAAAATTCAATTCTAAATCAGAAATCGCCGTTGAATATCAAATTCGCGTGCCTAATAATAGCAATAGTTAGCCATGTTATAATTATGTGCAACTCGCAAGAATTGCAAGCGCCAAAATCTGAATGGCAATAAATCACACTTTTTTTCGGCAATTTTTGCGAGTTAACATACATTTTAATACACATACCCTACGCATATTAATCTTCGACAATTTAAAAAAAAAAAAAAAAAAAAAAAAAAAAAAAAAAACCAACCTCCTCCTATACGCATGTATACTTGCAACTCATTACACTGCACTACACGCATCTTATAATTACATCAGAAGCTAAGGCCTCGTTCATTTCGCTGATTCGAGTTTAGAATTCGAGTTTTAGTACAGTAAAAAGCTCTCAGAAACAGTCACATCTAACTTTTTTGCTACAGTAAAAAGCTCTCACACAAAATCACATCTCAACTCGAATTACAAACTCAAATCAGCGAAGTGAACGGGCCCGCATGTATTTCATATATCTACAAGAGCATTTATGATCAACATCCAAACGTATAATTTCTACAAATACGTACCCATGCATGTCTACTACTTTTTTTTTTTTTTAATACAAACATACCACGTACGTCGCATTTCACATAATACTTTTCACACCACATGATCACAGCCAAACCACGAGTGTTATAGTTACCCAAAAAAGAGATGAGAAAAACAGATGATCACCAGAGATTCAATCTATATCTATGTGCCTAACATTGCCGCGAGTTTCCTGATCAGTTTCCTTCTTGGGAACCATGACGCTGAGCACTCCGTCCTCGAGGCTGCACTTGATGTCGTCGAGGTTGGCGTTGTCCGGCAGCCGGAACCGCCTTACGAAGCTGCCGCGCCGCCTCTCGACTCGGTGCCACGTGTCGATCTGGAGTATGTTACCGTCCTCCACGTGTACCTTTACTTCCTCCTTTCTCACCCCTGCCATTCAAATTAACATGAAATTTTGACAATATGCAACTTGCTAACTTGCACCAAGGTGATATTAGCCCACACAACCACACTGCACAACCTAGTGTAGCCAATTCCTTCTCTTTCATGGTTTTTTTTTTTTTTTTTTAATTCTGTTTACAATATATATATGTGACCAATAGAATTCTCCTTGGATCAGTTGAGACACATATCTATAACTTACTTAGTGTACGTTTAATTTACGCATTCAGAACTATTATTGATTTATATGTGTTTTTTTTGTTTTTTTTTTTTTTTGAGAAAATACTGTAACCAGCTAACTACTACGAACCATGATTCGAATCATGACACGAATTCTCGTACCAAATACCTTATTAAAGTCCCGGTCCTTGAAGATCAATATATATTACTTTTTAAAACAGCCAAATTTTTCATCAAAATTAAGAAAGGAAGAAAAAAAAAAACAGAGAACAATTGTAGGCACTAAAGATACGCATAGGCTAATATAAAATGAATATTCATAATTAATATCAATTGATAGCTAATTAACCGGGAACGTCAGCACGAAAGATGTGGAAGTTGTCGGTTTCACGCCAGTCTACGTGGGCGCCAGCGAGAGCAGCGGTGTCGTCGCGGCGTTCGCTGGACGAACCGAACCCGAAAGGGTCCCACACGTCCGACCCGATCCAGTTTTCGTCCCAGCTGCCTCTGCGCCACCCAAGCCACGGTCCCAGCCATGTCATGTTCTTGGACAAATAGCAAGTTTCTTCTGGTTTGCTTTCTCTGAGAACTTCTTTTGTTTTTTTTTTGCCAAAATTATATATATATCCAACTTTCTCAAGCCGGATATAGCTAGGAACCTACTTGAATAATGGGAAAATTGATCCCATTGTGGTAAGTGTCGCTTTGGTTGTGGGATACGTTGCATTGTGGACCGGTGACACGTTTTTAAGAAAGCGCCGCGTGGTCAGTTTTGGTGTCACATTTGGACGTGCCAATTTATTAATATTCGTGGTAAAAACAAAAAAACAAAAACTCCAAATGTTTGGTAATTTTTCTGCTTTACTAAGTTAAAAGCTATATTTTTTTTTTCTAGGAAAAAAAGTTTAATCTATATCTTAAAAGTTAAGTAAATACGTATTTTAGGTTTTTTTAATCGTTATATTTATATATATTTTTTATTTTTATGTGAGGATTTACCTAGAAAATTTGGGGCGTTCGTTTTTAGACGTGACTAATTAATTATCTAAGTAAATTAATCATTGTTAAAGTGTTAACACTTCCCTAAGACTCTTTCAAGACGAAAGGAGATGTCAATCTACAAGTCGCCGGCCTTGAACCTTCAGATCACTTGTCCGAAAGAGATCCGAGACTCCTTCTGGGTTTGTGCAAGTTTTGATGATCTTAAATACTACTACTGCTATTTATTCATTACTGTCGATTCCTAGGATAGACGAAAATCTGTCAATAATATATTAATATGAATAAATAATCTGTCAATATCAATGTGTTAATTTTTCATAAATCAAAACCAATCCTCAACGTCGTTAGGACCGAAGTTAAAAACTCAAATTTGCCTTTTCTTTAATCATTTAAGGAGACTTTAAACGGATGCCAGTGATTTAAGTACTCTCCTCCCTCATGAACCGATACTTTTCTTTTCTTTTTTTTTCCCCCCCTTTTTCTGTTGCTTCTAACTTTTTAGATCATAATTTGACACGTTGTGTCCTTTAAATTTTTCAATCTTTTTTTTTTTCTTTAGAAAAAATTATTGGTGTGCTTCCATCTCTTTCGTCACTTAAAAAATTTCATAACCTCATATAACGAAAATGACCTGATTCAATTCAACTGAAAAATTCATGATTTTCACTTATACAATCACACATCTAACTTCTCACAACACAGTGTCTAAGTAAGAATCATAAAATAACATTTTGGAATATAGAATCTCGAAAAAAAAAAAACATTTTTAATGTTACACCAATCCATTAATGATATTTTTCACTAGATTCTATTCTCTACTTTTAACCCCCCTTTTTTTTTTTTTTAAGTTTTGTATGAGCTTTATGTGTGCACAACTTCTCCTCCACGCGGAGTCGTTTTTGTTTTTTTAGTAGATTCTTTTAACTCTTTTTTTTTCATTTTATCAATATACCCGTTCATTTTACCGATTCGAGTTTAGAATTTGAGTTTTGATACAGTAAAAAGCTCTCAGAAACAGTTACATTTAACTTTTTTACTACAGTAAAAAGCTCTCACATAAAGTTACATCTCAACTCAAATTAAAAACTCGAATCAGCAAACTAAACGAGTTCTTAATAACTCCTCTTTTGTGCTTTATCTATGTGTGTTTAAGCATACATGCTCTTGGTTATATTTGTGTTCATGAATTATGCATACATGTTCATAGTTTTTTCTTTTGTTTATCATTTGCTTTTCAAGAAAAATCCGATTATAATGTATGTTAGGTTATATTTTCTCACACACATATTTTATCATTTCTCCTACAGTCTTTATAACTATTAAATTTTACATCTTTCTACTTTAAACAATTTATTAATAGAATCTGTTCATTTTTTAAAATTTAATTACAGCCAATAACTATCACCGCAAGTGATTATAAGAAAAACAGATCATAATGCAAAATGTAATCTGGCGCGAGGTATATAAAAATAATAATAACTCTCATTTGTTCATAACTTTTCCACATGGCTTCATGGTTGCGTTTTTTTTTTTTTTTTTCCTCTTTCTTCATAACTTTTCCACATGGCTTCATGGTTGCGTTTTTTTTTTTTTTTTTTCCTCTTTTTTTCCTTCGCTTTCACTTTATTTGGGTTCATGCAAAAAACTTTAGTACATGTGGAGCCATTTGACTTTGTGTTGAATCATCCATTTGTGTTTTTATTAAACAAATAAAAGCGGACGTTTCTCGTGAATATTTTCTTTTTCCTGTCAAATTCTCTTTTCCGTACGAAAATATTTGTCGCCGTGTAAAATGAATATTTTAGTGAGTGCAAACTTTTCATATTTAATTATAATTGTTAAAAAAAGTAAAACCTTTGTGCCGAAAAATCATCTTTTTGATTAATTTGTTAATATCTTATGAAGCAAGCTTATGAGCTGGTAACAATGATATTATGTTTATGAATCTCTATTTATAGTATGGAATTGATAGAGATCTAGAATTTAGAGCTTGCACGACATGTATATGGTATCTGACTTTATCTATATTCATTCAATATTTTTGCTGAACACATTACCGCCATGATCAACTCAATTATTCAAACTTGAAACCCAAACTTAAAGGAAAAGCAAAACATGCTTTGTACAAAATTGTTATAATTATAATCCCAAAGCATACTGAAACAGCAGAATAGATAGAATGGGATTTTACCGGCTCAATCCGGATAAAGAATTTCCGAATCCACCTAAAAGAACCCATAAATGGGAAAACCTTCTAATTAGAAAGGAAACTCAACTCTAATTCAATTATCAAAATATTGAAGTCTTACTATTACAATAGGTATTGTGGCTATTTATAGCTCATATACAAAAACGACAACAAAATATCAACTATGCCAAACGACATAATAGTAAAAGAAACTACAATTAAACTAGAAATTAAGACTTTTCGTAAAATTACTAAACTAATATATTAATTCTATTATTCTTCCTACATCAGTTCACCCCTTCTTTGAAAAGAACTCGACCTCGAGTTCGGTAGGAGCGTACAAAAGATGAACATGATGTAGCAAGCAGAACCACTAATGGAAACGATCCCTCTTCGGCTTATGAGAATGATAGACCCCGATTGAGTAGCTTCTCCGTAACACATTCCAAAACCATAATGGATTCAAAATAATGCTCCAATGGAATGCGGAAAATATCAAAAATATACACCGATGACATTGTCTCACTCTCTTAGTCTTGAATTTCTCAAATCCGACTCCTATCGTACCAACCAATCGATCAATGAAATTGACACCCTTAATTGACCCATTTAGAATTTTAACAACCCCTATGAAATCAATTTCTTCACCTTCTCCTTTAATTTTATCCACATTAAAATGATCCACAAGCTCTTCATCAAGATTCCCACAATTAGTAATTTCAATGTCTTCCTCACCTTGGGATTCAATTTCAAGACCAATTTGCTCGTCTAAATTTTCAAATTTGTCCACATTAAAATCATCAATAGAATCTTCTTGAATAATATCCCCACAATTAACAATTCCAACTCCCAATGTGACACAAGAAGCATCATTACTTTCTTCAAACTCAAACCACTCAGAAACAAATTTCGTCATATCTGCAAGAGTAGTGGATTTACCTTTGGATAACATAGGCCTCTGGTGAGAATTAAATTTGGTATAAATGTTGTGCGTGTAAAACTGATGTAGATCACTTAAGCCCGTTCATTTTACCGATTCGAATTTAGAATTCGAATTTTATAGTAAAAAACTCTCAGAAAACAGTCGCATCTAACTTTTTTACTACAGTAAAAGGCTCTCACATAAGATCATATCTTAACTCGAATTAAAAACTCAAATCAGCGAACTAAACGAGCTCAACTTCTTAGGCTCACACACTTGAGTTGAGTGTGGGCTGGGCTCATTGATTTGAAATGGGTCCATTTTGGCTTGGGCTTGCTCTTCGTTTCTTAGGGCTCCATGCTGCACATTGTCAAGTTCGGTTGCAGATTGTGTGGGATGACAGACGCCATTGCTTTGGAGGTCGCTGCCGCCATTGTTCTACAAGTCGCCGTCGCACTTCCGCAGGTCGCCGCCGCCACGACAATTCCACAGGTCGCCGCCACCACGACAATCTCCTTCTCCGGCAACAGGCTCTATAGGCAAACAAATTTCTCCATTGGCTTTGTGTCTTGCAGATCGTAAGAGAATAACTAGGCAGCGAATCAACGCTCAGCTTCGCTGTCGGCATCAGAATCGAGTCGCTCGCGTCGCCATGGCTGCAGTGCTTCTCCGTAGGACCTGAGAAATTCGCGCCGCCGGTGTCGAGCAGCTCTTCGATGATCGAAGTCCGAAGTCGACGAAGCCACGGATCTAGTTTTCTCTCTCGATTCGAACTCCGTTGATGCGAGCCTCGCTCACAATTCCACAGATCTTGTTCATCTTCTCTGCTGCACTCGTGCGAAGATGTGGTCCTGACGGAGATCGTGGCGGAAAGAACCACGAATCTCATCGAAATCATGGCGGAAAGACGCGCGAATCTCATCGATTCGTCGGATGGCACGACGGAGAGCTCGACGGATCTCATGGTTCTAGTGTGACGGAAGTGGGTCTCGTTCAAGGCTCCGTTGATGTCGACGATCACCGACGGTGCTACTCAAGGGCTGGTTGTATTGTTGGTTTGGGTAGTGTCGGTGGCCTCGATGATTTTGGGTACGATGTGGTGTAATGGGGTTTGGATTTGGATTTGGATATGCAGTGGCTGTGTATTGGTGGTGGTATCTCGGATGATGGTGGTAGTGGTGGTGGAGGTCACGGTGGTGATATGGTAATGGTGGTGGAGAGTGGTCACGGTGATGGTGGTAATGGTGGTCGTAGTGAGGATCACGGTGGTGGTTATGGCGTTGAGATGGTGGTGGAGAAGGTGAATGGTAGTATGTGTGGATAGGCGGTGGAGAACACGGTCGTTGGTGGCCACTCCACCTTCGAACACCGCGACTTCAGTGGCTCCAATAACCGTCCATAGCTATCGTACTTCTCCGGGAAAGAACCGA